ACGCAGGGCTTGGAAAACGAATAAATCTTCAAGATCTGAGGGATTGAAGCCTGCACATTAGCTCCCCTTAAACCCTGAGTGCATTTAACTTGGGAGGTTAGAAACCACAGCCAAAGAAATCTCTTTTGATTCACAACTTGTTTTGAGCAGTCACCCATAAAGCAGCCAGTGAATCACTCCAGCCAGTTAGTCATGCAACCACACTGAATGTACACTCAAAAGGCTGCGCAAAATAAACAGCCTGCAGCTCCAGATAACACACATAGAGCTCATTTGCCCTATCTGGCATCAGCGTATATTGTTAATAGGACTCCTACACCGAACCCTTAGGAAAAGACGCAAGTAAGCATCTCCAAATCTCTTTCCCCATCAGTATTTTTCTCGTCTGCATCGCACTCTGTTGCTTTCAAAACAATTCAGACTAGTAGAAGTTTTAAGACTCTCTCTCCCTCTTTCTGCTCCCTTCTTGCTGGTAACGTCCTGCTGGGGTTACAAGCGTGCGCTGCAGAACCGTGGGGCTAAAGAGGAGTTAATCCCAATCAGCAGCGGGACAAGTCGAAAATAAACAGCTCTAGTGCGAAAAGAAACCTTCCTGCAAGGAGGGAGCGGCAGGAATACAGGCGGAGGGAGGCTCCCGGTTCTTTGACACATGAGTGTTATAAACAGCTCGGGTCAGGAATCCTAGAAGAGCCTTGAGCCAGATCTACCGTCCAAGTCTAGGGAAGCGCAAAAACACCTTTGGGAATGATTCTAAGAGAGCCGCGACCCAAATCTTCCTGCGCAGCCGGGGGAAGAGGCGTGAGCCCTACCTTCGCGTCCTGCTCCCTGAGGAAATCCCGCAGGTTTTCCGCGGAGGAGATCCCGCACCTCCGAGTGTCTGCTCAAACAGAGGCTTAGCCAAACTCCTGGCGAGAGCTCCCTCCCCTCCCTGGGAGGGTGCCGGAGCCCTTGAATGGCAGATCTGGTGGCCCTATTGTGGAAAAGAGAGGGCGATTGCCAGGGCGGCGTCAGCAGCGCGCCGGAGGCCGGCGGCCGAGCCTCGCCGGGGTCCCGCAGCACCGGCAAGGGCCGGCCCCGCTCGCCCGCTTCCTCGCCACGGTGCCCGTCCCCCTCCCCGCGGCCCCACTCGCGCCTCCCACCGCACACTTCTCCCCTTTGCACTGTCCCGTTGACCCCGCGGGGATCCGGGCAGCGGCATCCCCCCCATCCCGCATCTCTGTCCGACGGGTGCGAGGCGACCCGCGCACTCCCCGACGGCGCTGAGGAAGGAGCCGAGAGACGAGACCAAAGCTGCGGGGAGAGAGAAGGGGAGGCAGGACCGGGACCTCCTCCCAAAGCCCACCTCACATCGCGGAGGAGCCGCTGTTCAAGCGGTCCCTGCGGGATGCGCAGCGGGGTTAACGCTCGCAATCCCCGGTGCTGGAACACAGCATCACCCCGTGTGCAGGAGCCCTGCAAAGATCCCAGGGGAAGGGAGCAGATGCCGCCGGTGAGCCCCGGCGCAAGGGGAGCTCCGCAAAGCCCTTGAACATCGAGGAGAGGGGGGGATCTGCTCGGCGGGGAGCCCCGAGCCTGGCAGCCAGCGGTGTCTCACGGGAGGCGGAGGGGGGACCGCCAGCGCGCTCGTTCCTGCCGTGCCTGCAGTTTTCATTACATTATGGGGAGGAGGAGGAGGAGAAATGCATTAAAAGTGTCAATTTAAAGAAGCACGCAGCAAGCCTTCGATTCCTACGAGTTGCTTTCTGCACTTCTATTAATAACGCTCTTTAGGCTGCGCTTTTTATTTGCTCGCCAAATAAAAGAAACGGTCTCGTTATTTTCACAACGCGGCACTTAAAGAATTTCCTCCGTTAGAGAAAGCCCGTTTCCTTCCTCCTGTTTCCTTTGAGCAAACTTCCCCATCGCATTCGCCTTCACTCCCCAAAGGGTTTCTTTTTTTTTTCCAGCCAGTATTTCTATACAGCAATATATGTACATATTTCTGTGTGTATACGGGTGTATGCACGCATATGTTTCAAGACATATAACTTACTTCAGCTCCACGCAGTAGAAATAGCAAGTCAGATTACTACAGCACATAAATCATTCCAAAGATTTTCCTCCTCCAAAGGGAAAAAGATATATAACCTGCTCTAAAGGCTTTTATTGAAGAGTTCGGCTTTAATTGTCTGCAGGATAAGCCGTACCCCGCATGTATGGCAGGGAAAACGGGGAGAAGTGCTTCGGAGACCGGCGCTCCTGTCCTCGGTGTGTTTGCGGTCGCAGCTCTCCCCGGCCTATATTTACCCGTACAGTGCAATGGAAGGGCTTAGATCTAGAAATAGAAGCCGAGAGCAATAGATGGCAGGCACAGGCTTTTTATAACTCGAAAGGACTTGTTTATTAAGGAATTAGAATAAAATTAAACACGAAATAAAGGGGAAACATCTTTTCCTGCCGGCTCTCGGCGTGCCCACTGTGCCTGAGGCTCCACAACCAAGAACAGGCTGCGTGGAGCAGCGGCCCCTGGCACTGCCATGGGTCTGTTTGGTCGGCCTCTGGGTTTAGTTGTTTTGGGGAGATTTGGAGGTTTTCTTTTCCTTTATTTATATTATTCGGGGTGGGGGGCGTGTGATTTCCTGGGGTTTAAATTAAGGGACTTTAAATCGCCCCATTGCTCCCTCATCCCTCCCGGGTAACCAGGAATACAGCGTTCCCCACTGCGGCCGCGCTCCTTCCCATTCTGCATAACGGCGGCGGGTCGGGGGGCAGCGGGAAGCAGCGGGTCAACGTTTGCTCTCCGGCTTCCCCATCAAAAACCTCTTTCTGTAGCTCTCCCCAGCAGCCTGCGTGCCGTTTGATCGCATTTACACCCGCTGCAGAGAACGAGGTCGGAGCTCCCTTCCCCAACCCAAGGGTATTTATCCGGGCTTGGTGATGTCCCTGATCCCCTTTAGCCCGGCGAAGTGGGTTCAGCCGCTTATTCGGGAGAAGGCGGAGAGGAGCCTGAGGGTGCTACAGCCGCTCTGCGGAAACCCCGTTCTGGCTACTATTAACGAGTCTTTCTTTTCAATCATTAACCGTTATTATTATTGCTATTAATTATTCTCGCGGATTCATGTGTCTCTTATTAGAGGCCACCGTCCCTAGCCACATCACAGGGGGCTCACAGTGGGAGCGGGTCTGAGCGCCCACTGAAGTCAACCCTGAAGCCCCGCTTAGAAACAAATCGGGCGGGACACACGTCGGCGGTATTAAGGAGGGTGATAAACTCGTGTGGCTGTATCGGGGGGTGTAATGTGTCATCACAGGCTAAACCGGCGCCATGGCCCTTGCAACCCATAAAATCAAGACAGCCGTTTAGCGGGGAGAGGGTGGCAGGAATAGGAAGCCACCGGCGGCTTCCCTACGCTCCCATTTCTCCCGGCTGGAGCTGGTGCCCGTGGTGCCCCACAGGCTCACTATACCCTTCCCAGTGGGCCCCAGCCTGGACCTGAAAGTCCTCCGAGGATGCGGAGTGGGCCTTCGGACCGGTGTGGGGTTGTCTGCTCATGCGGATGGGGAAAAGAGAGAGCGAGCCACGGCCTAAGCCTTGGCCAGAGCTCCCCATCATTCCGGGGCCAGGAGAGGAAAAAGCCCGTGGAAGCGGCTTGTGCCGCCGGGAGCGAACATGAGCAGAGCACGGACAGAGCTGGCGGGATGGGATCTGGCCCGGCGAGGAGCAGGCAGGGCAGCCGGGCTCTGCCTGCGGTACCCGGGCACGGCGGCCTGGCGATGGCTTAATGCCCTTTCCCTGGGAGGCAGTCACCTTGGAGGGGGGACCAGGTCTGCGGACCTGTATCCGGGGCCAGAGACACCTCGGCTGCTCGCAGGGGTGATGGACGGCGCCCGAACGCGGTCTCTTTGCTTCCTTCTGAGATCTAGAGATGGGGGAAAGGGAACGTAAAGAGGGCAAAGGGTGCCCAAAACGGCGGCGGGATGCTAAAGGTGGAAGCCGGGCCCAGCACCCCCATCGCCCGCTTTAGGCCCTCCCCGGAGGCCTCCTCACGGTCCCGCTCCGCTGTCCCTGCCCGACGGGGTCCCGTTAGACCGGCGAACCGAGGAGGGGACACGGCGATGCACCGGGGGCAACCCCTCTTTGCCCCCCCCCCCCCCCCCCCCCGAGCCCATCGGAGCCAGAGGAACAGATTTCACTTCCACTTTCTCTTCGGAAAAATCACGGGGGGTGGGGGGGGTGGGGGGTGGTGGTGGTGGTGGGGGGTGTTGTTTGGCTGTTTGTGGGCTTGTTTGTTTGTTTGTGCTGGTTATTTTGGGGGTGTTACGTTAGATTTTGGTTTTGTTTTTGTTTCATTTTATCCTAATGGCCTCGATAGAGCAGAAACCTCCCGAAGAAGCCTTTTAAACCCACGCTCGGACACGACAGGAGAAGCGGCCCCGTTCAAAGCCGAGCGCCAGCGCAAGGGAATGCCCCTTAATTGCCGCTAATGACCCGCGGAGAGGATGCGGTGGGTTATCTGCAGTGGGGCAGAAATCAATCAGGGGAGTGGCAATTAGAGGAGAAAGTGAGAGACGGGACCTTGAGAGAGGCAGTTACAGCGGAGAATGAAGGTTTGGGTGAATCCTTCCAGCGACATTCCCTGTGGAAGAGGATCCCGGTGGATATACTTGGCGCAGCCCGGCGCTCTTCCTTTCTCTTTCTGTTTCTCTCCCGGTTTACCGCGGGTTTCCCGGCGTTGCTCGGGAGCTAACGCTTTCCGGGAGCGCATCGGCCCAGCTGAGAACTGACCATGGAAGAAGCTTCCGCAAAGCCGGGAAGGGGGGAACGCGGCTTCCCGAGGGGAACGCGGCTTCCTGGGGCCCGGCGGGACGGGGCGGGCGCGGTGCCACCGGCCAAGGTCTCCTTGACCCTGGGAGGACTTGTCCCGCCGGGCACCCCCCCCATTCACCCTCGGGAGGCCCGTTCCAGCCCCGGGTGTCTCTTCTTCTTTACCCCCCCTCCTTGTCACACGCCAAGGACTCACCGTAACAGGAGACCTGCAGAGCTCCGTTGTGGCCGCTGCTCTCCTGCAGCTTGAGGTTGTTCTCCGGGGGAGTTTTGCAGGGGCCTCGCTGCATGTAGAGATGCGGCGGCTGCTGCTGCTGTTGTTGTGGGTATTTGTTAAAGGAGGCCGGAGCCGCGGTGGAGCCGGGAGCCTGCACGCTGCCATCCAGGGACTGACATTCCTGCTGGCTGTAGCGGCTCCGGCACTTAGAGCTGCTGTCACCAAAGCCTTGTCCTTTGCTGGCCAGGAAAGTAGGGCTGAACTTGTCACTTGCTTGAAATGCCCTAAAAGGCGAGGAGCCTTCTGTGCCCTGGGAGGCTGCGTTGTAGTAGGAATCCATGGCAGCCGGATCACAATAAGAAACACAAGTATCAGCATTCATTCCTAAAATTAAAAGGCCCGAGTGTCCTTAATGCGCTTGGAGGGGCACCAGGAACCTCTCTTTCTCTCCCCCTCTCGCATAGACACACACTCACAGCTGGGCCAGGGAGCTCTAAGAGGATTCAGATGTTCTTGAAAGCTGACCAGATCTCCAAACCCCCTTAAGATCTCGCACAGTAAAAGGGGTCTTTTTCTTTCCCTCCCTCCCTCTCTCTCTCGCACACACACACACTTGCCCTCCGTCTCTCCCTACAATCTATCTACGCTCCAAAGAGGCTCTTCTCCGCGCTTCCCCCCCACACACATAGGAGGCAAAAAAAAAAAGGGGGGGAAAAAGAGAGAGGAGAGACCTCTCCCCCAATTAATATGTAGATGATGACAGTGGAGGGGAGGGGGCCCAGGAAGGGGGGGCTGTGTGTGTATGGAGGGTGTGGGAGCAAGGGGGGGGGGGGGGGAGTGGTGGTGAAGGTCACGTCTTTTGCATTTAAAAAGTAGCAAAAGAAAGGTTTTCTGATTAAAAAGATAGCAAATCAAACGGACAACGTGCACGCTGCGAAGGGACTGACGCGGGGGAAGCACCGGGGACGATTTAATGGTCGGGACACACTCGTTCCGCTCCTCACGACCCCCGCGGCCCCCTCCTCCTTATTAAAGGCAATACGGATTTCCCCCGCACTAGACGCCTTTAAGCTTGCTCGCCCCCCCCGCCGTTAACCCCTTCGGGACCGGCACATCCCTTGGCACGGCGGTGCCGTGTTCGCCCAGCACACCGCCAGGCAGAAGTAACTCCCCGGCCCCCCGCTGCACGTTTTATGACCGTCATTATTTATTTACCTCGACAAACGTGCTGTCTCCAGGTGTAAAACAACTGGACCGAAACGGGAGGGCGGCAGGGAGAGGGATTTTAACAGGGTCGCAAGCGCACGGAATTGGACCTTCCGGGACTGCCGAGGGTGAACTTGCAAAGGGACACAGGATGGCAGGAGCCCTTTTTGGTTTGGAGGGGTCAATTGCAACCCAAAAAGGGCTTAAAAATAAATCAATGCTCACCTTCCATCACCCCCCCCCCCCACCCCATCCCGCCATTCAACCTGATTCCCCTCCTCCCTCGGTTAACTCATGCTACCCCTTAGACTTACTCTTACCCTGCCTGCCTCCCATCCCCACATCTGGTTTCTATTGCTCGCTTACCTTGAAGTTTTCACTAATAAAGATATTACGCAAACTACATCCACAGTCCTTCAGTCAAGGGGGGAAAAATAAGGAAAAATAAAAAGAAATTAAGATAAAAAGAAAGAAAAGGAAAAAGCGAAAAAGAAAGGAAAGTGAAGAAGAGGAGGCCCTTAACCACTTAGGGTTAGCGGGCCGCGGTGGAACCGGCTGCGGGCAGGGATTGGGGCACAGGCGACGGCTCTGGGCTCCCAACGGGCTCCCCCTGGGGCCCTGGCCATGTGTCCTCCCTTCTCACCCCCCCCCCCCCCTTGCAGAGATAGGGGGTAGACCCGTGGCTTTCATCTGTGTGTGTGTATCTGGATGCGGGGGGAGCGGGATGCGGCTCGGGGGCCACGGCTCGGGGGTGCCGTGGCAGCCGCAGCCCCCCGGGTTTTGCCCTCAGGAGCAAGACCAGCACCGCTGTTTCCATTAGCTCGGATCTGACAAGAACAAACCCCCCTGCCCCTCGCCCCCCAGATGCAGAAGGGATTTCTAAGCGAGGTCGTCGTTAAAAACAGCCAGAGACGGATTAATTTACTAGATTTCAAACCGTTTTGCGAGTCTCCCTCCGAGCAGCGCTGGGCTCACTCAGCTTTCTGGTCCAAGAAAGCTTTCAGCGGATTTGCCTTCCTTATTCTCTTTATTACCTTGCTTAATACTTTCCCCGTCGTTTCTCTCTCCCCTCCCAAAATCCCCCACCCCGCCGCAGCCCCCTCTCTCTCCCTTGTCCACGACTTAATAAAAAGCAAACCCAATGTATAGGAGTCTTTCTAAACACTAACTTCGAGGCGGCCAGGGGCAGGTCGGGCGCTGCCGGTACCCGGAGCGGCTCCTCCGCGGGGCAGCACCGGGTCCCTCATCCCCGGTTCCCGCATCCCCGGTTCCCGCATTCCAGGCTCCACTCGCAGCCGCTCTGGTGGGGAAAGCATTTGTGTGTGGAGGGGGTAACCACGTTAAATACGGCTTTTCCAGCCAGTTACTTCCTCAGCCATTACTCTGCGAACGAAGAAGAAACCCGAAAGAAACGATGTGAGGGCAGTCCTCAATGCTGGGGCATTATACTCGGCCTCGAGAGTTCTTTTCGTCAACGTTAAATCACAGCAAGAATGAAAGCTGAAGGGGGAGATTCCGGGATCGGGCAAGAGGATTTTTTAGATTAATATTATTATATTCATTATTATTTATTATTATTTATACAGAGAGATCTTTTTTCCTTTCCTAGGAGCCGGGCTTCTCCGGGTCGCTTCGGCTTGGCCGAGCCGAAGAAGGGCTGCCCCGGTCTGCCTCGGCCGGAGCGCTCCGCCAACCCCTCACGGCTTTAAACTGTAACGAAAAGTCCATTAGCTCCCAATCATGGCTAATCCGCAGCCCCGCGGAAAGGACCGCAATAAACCCCTCTCTCTAATGGCCAATTTGTGTCCCTGGAAGCTGGAGGTTAATTCGGGAATCGTTACCGGGGGAAAGGGTGCTCGCAAATACCTGGCGATCTGGAGGGGGGGGGGGGGTATAAGGGGGAAAGCGCATTTCCTGACGGTTTTCGTTATGGATGGGTTGGGTTTTGTATGAAGTCCTCTCAGCAAGCTCGATGGGGCATCCCCCAGCCCCCGTTAGCTGGGAGCGGAGCTTCGTGAACATAAAAGCGAACGGAGCCTGCGGCCGCCCTCCCCATTCAACGAAGCGATGGGGCTGCGTGTCCCGGCGCTGCCGGGGCTGGCGATGGGGCTCTGCCCGCTCGGTCCCGCCGCACCTCCGGGGTAGAGGAACACCCCCGTTTGCGGGAGCGGGGATCGGCAGAGTCAGGGTAGGAAGGGACACGAACCTCTTGTAACACGAGCTCCGGGTGACCCCAAACCTGCCCCAAATGCGGCCGAAAGGGAAGGGGGAAAAGAGCGGCCGAAAGGTCTGCGCTCCGCAGCACCCCGTTGTCAGTTCAGTGTGTGTGTGTGATATAATATCGAGACCGCTTTTCAGATCCGGTCGCTGTTGGTTTGGGAAGGACTCACCCCCGAGCGTCCCTTCCCATACGGAGCCGCGGGAGGCCAGGTGAGACCCAATCGGTCCCGCTTTTAGGGACGGCAGCTCCCACCCAGCGAGTCCCTGCTGCGGGAATCGCCCGAGTCTCCAGCTCCGGAATACCCGCTGGAGAAGGGAGCAGTCCAGGGCAGCCCTGCCTGGCTTGTTTCCCTTTCCACGGGAGCAGGAGCGGGCACCGCTCCCCGGTGAGGATCCGGTGAGAGGCGCAGGCGATAGGGGCTGGATCCTGCACCCCGATCCCTGCAAGACCGACCTCTTCCCCCCCCCGCTGTTCCTGTGCGGTTTAAGCGCTGAGGCTTGTGTCACATCCCGGGATAAGGCGGAGGTGCCCGCTGGTCCCCGCACACCGGCGAGGTTGCTACGACGAGGCACAGAGGGGCGGCGGGTCCAGCACCCCAGGTCCTCCCCTTCCCTCCGAGCAATATCTCGGTTCAGGGAGTGGGGTCATTTACTGGGGAGGGGAACGGAGATGAGGGGAGGATCTCTCACACCGTTCCCCCCTGGCTTTTTGGCAGAGCCCTGCTCTTGGAAACTGCCTCCAGCGTGTTTCCCGTTGGGTTGGTTTGTGTGGTCACTTCAGAGCTGCTTTTGTAGAGAGATCTGAAGGGGACCTATTTATAACATCCCTGCTAGGGGGGAGAGGTAGGGGAAAAGGAAAGAGGGGAAAAAAGTATTCGTGCTGATCTCCCCAAATTCTTATTTTATTTATTATTATCTATTTATTTGTTTTTCCTAGCAGGACGAAGGTTGCATCTTTATTTAGGGAATGGAGTTTGCCTTGTGACAGTGCCACTGGTACCTGTGCTGTGGCTCGTTCCCCGGACTGGGCTCTTTGCTCTCCTGCCCTGGACGCCTTTCCTTGGGGATCTTGTATATGCAATATATATATATAATATCACTATATGCAATATATATGTAATGTCGTCGTTATATACAATATATACGTAATATCGTCATTATATACAAATATATGTAACCACCCTCCTCGTGTCACCAAGGGGCTTGCAGAGAACTGAAGCTGACCCGCTCCTCTCCTTGGGCAAAGCAAAGGAGCAGGCTCGGACTCCGGCCGGGGTGGCCCCTCCGGGCTTGTGAGGGCAAAGCTCTTATCCCCACGTCCTCCGAGGTTCCCCCGCTTCACCGAGGCATGGAATTCTGCTCCAGGGCTCTGCTACCCCAGTTCCACTGGCGTTCCCCCCGCCTGCCCTGGGCACGGCTTGCTCCGTGGATGGATGTGTCCGTGTAGCTACGGGTTTACGCCGAAGGAGGCCCCGGGCAGCCGTCGAGCTCGGCCGTCGGGCTCGAAGAACATCCCAGGGCCGCAGGGCTCCGGTCAGGGATTCCAGCAAAGCTCCCTTTAATTTTGTTTTCTTTTACTTGTTTTTTTTGTTTTTTTTTTTTTTGTGTGTGTGTGTGTTCTTTTTATTTTGTTTTTCTCTTTGATTCTTTATTTTTCCCTTTTAATTTTGTTTCCTTGTCTAGAAAGTGCCGCCCTCGCTTCACTCTGCAGGCGGCAAAGGGCATTTATCCACTCGCTCCTTCACGCAGCCCCCGAAGCCGCCGCGTCCGGAGCTGGGCCCGCTGCGGCTAGGCACGGTGAGGGGCTGCAGAGCCCGGGATCCCTGGAGCATCCCGAACCCCTCGGCCTCATTATCCCAGCTTTCCCGTGCCCCAAAACCCAGTGAAAAATCACTGCTTTCCGTACCGGTCTCGGGGGGCCCCGGTGACGCCACCGCATGGGAGCCAATGAGGAGGCGGAGAAGGGGCGGCCCCAGTCCCCCCCGCACCCCTATCGCACCCCGGTTCCCTCTCCGGACCCCTGGTTAGCCCGGAGCCCGGCGGGGGATGCTCAGGCCGGCAGTCCCCTCGGACCCTGGCCCTGCTCGGTGAAAGCCCTGCTCCGCATCTCATCCCACTTCCAAGCACGCCTGAATGTGATTTAGGGGATGGGGGTGTCTCTCTATCTAAAATGCCACCCCAGGACCGCATTTTTTAGTGTCTATCTATAAACCCCTTCTTGCGGGGGTTAAAAAATCCACT